GCGGGCGCGACGACGGTGGGCTGGCTTCTACTCGTGGATCCCTTCGGCAGAGGAGCTTTTTGTGTGGAGGGGCTCTCCCTGGAGTCTTCCCTCTCCTCCACAACCTGTATGTGGCCATCTTGTCCTTTCAGGATAACCACTCCCCTATTCTGCCGAGGGCTGACATCGGGTTCAATTGCCTTCCGCTCTAATATACTGCTATTTCCTGGGCTCTCTTGATGCCCTCCCAGGACTTGTTTGGATCCCTGGGTCGCCGACAACTTGCTGTTTCCCATCGGCGACCCGTAGCGAGAGGTCGAATTTACTGGAGGCGCGAAGATGACCTCTTCTCTTCGCTCTCCTTGTCGTTTCCCTTGTTGCAATCTGGGCAGAACTTGCGGCTAAAACCCAGTTTGCCACAAGCGGAACACTGGAGAGGCTTAGTAAAGTCTATGTTCCGCCTCTGCCCTTCTCGCCGCTCGCCAGGAGACCTGGAAGAAGGAGAATTTTTCTTTCCTCCACGCCATCGGCTCTTACGCTGTTCTGGAGGGCTGCCTTGCTTGTCAGCGGCCAACTTGCGCAATATCCGCTCGATGCCCTTCAGACGTTCTTCCATCTTCTTATCAGAAGTGGAAGCTTGCGTAGCCGATATCGATGCTTGTTCGGTAGGCCTTCTGACGGGGTTCTCCACGCCTAGTCCGCTCTGCGGATCTCCCTCCTTCTTTGCACGCGCCTTCCCTTCGCTGGCCATTGCAGCGGTTTGGGATTTACTACCAGCCGTTCTTTTGCTCGGCTGGTAGGCGTGCTGAGGGAAGATCGTCGAGTTGGGGTCAGCGAATACACGTGGACGGCGACCATAAGATAAGGTGTTCTGTACCTCGGTCGCCCTCCTGTTGAATTCGCATATCGACGTCATCTCGCTCCGACGCAGCTGGATTTGGATGGTTGGAAGGAGGTTTGCATGGAGTAGGTCTAATAACCTCTCCAAGGGCATGGGCGGTTCTAGTCTATTGACAAGAGCCACCAGGTTGGACACGTAGTCTCGCACTAGTTCGTCCTCACCCTGGAACCGGTTCTGGGCTTCCTGCAACAGCCTTTGTTGCTGTTGCGTACTTGTGCCAAACCAATCCCGGGCGTCCGCGACGAACTCGTCATAACTGAGCCACTGGTACTTGTTGTTATCGTACCAGGTCCTCGCGTTACCTTCGAGGATCTCTGATACGGAACAATGCACTTCTTCGTCAGTTAGTCCTGCACCTACGCGCAGATCCTCCAACCTCGACAGAAACGTATCTACGCTCTGTGCCCTACTGCCCGCAAACCTCAATTTCCATCCGCGGACAATTTTCCCAACATCTCAGGTTGTGGAGAGCCCTGAGAATATCAGATATCCGGTGCCAGATGATCCGCTTTGACTCCTCTGTCGAACGGGTGCGGATCTCCCATAAACTTCCGAATCCTCTTCACCTCCTTTTCGTTGGAGGACTTCCGGTGTAGTGACGTCCCTTCTACTAGGTATTGGTCTTGGAGGAGCTGGTGTACTCCCCGGAATCCCCGAGTCGTAGTAACAGGTGTATGTGTCCTGAAAGTCCACATTACGTCCGGAGCGCGGTTGAACCGAGTCACGCTGAGAAGAACGGTTAGCACTGGCCATGTCATGCATTGCGTCTTCCAGCTCTCGAATTCGTATGCGCATGTCCTGCGCCTCGCGCTCCGCACACACCTGTAATCCCTGCAGAGTCTGAAGGGTTTCTAGGATTCGACCTACCAACTTTTGGTTATGGTCTATTCCCTCCTTCAGATACTCTATCTCTCGGAAGGCTTCACTCAAGGATAATTCTTCCTGAGGTTCCTTCCGAGTGCAGGATTCCTGCGACCTGGGGTCCGGATTGCTCCGTCTTCTCTCCTCCTTCTCCTGCTCTTGTGTGCTGAGGGCCTTCTGGATGAGTTCATCCTCTTCTTGGCGGCTGGCTTCACCCCCAGAGTCCTCATCCGGGCAGGTGAATGTCCTTGACATATCAGTCAATGATATTCCCCCCCTATTGATGATCCTGAGGGGATGGTCGCTGTTATCATCCGCGTTGGAGTTTTCCAACTCGTCACAGACTGTGTCGAGCCACGCTTGTCGGGATCGCCTCCTGCGCCCCGCTACCTCTTTGCTGTGCGTGGTCTCTTGAAAATCTGTGGCGGTGTACTCACCCAGCAACCATCTCCCAAGCCTAGCCGCCTGTTGAATGACACTTCCATCCTTGCGCAGCTCCAAATCCGCTAAATAGCTTTCGCGCTGTGCGGAGGTCAGCTCTAATGCCCAATTGTCGATTTGAGCTGACAACAGAGCCATCTTGCCTCCGCACGGGTGTAGGATGCGGTTGAGGTTTAAAATTTCGGCCTAATCGACCACTACCGCTTCCTATCACCCAAGGTATGAGCGGGGTGTACACTATTTAGTGTCACTACTTTTAATACCTCCTTTTATAAGGCCTTTTAAAAGGAGATTATGAGCGCGTGCAGTCTCCTTTCTTCCTTCCTTCCAAACTTTCTATAAATATTACTAGGAAAAATCATATGACGAAATCGGCGAATAATTTTAATAGATTTTATTAATAAAAATTACTACAGTCTTTGTCGGGCCGAAAGACTGACGCACGCGAACAGGATTTACAATTAAATAACTTTCGGTGGGAAAGAGAGAGAGAGAAGATACGAAAACTGGCGCGATCTAACGCTCGGCGCGAATACAAAAAATTAACGCTAAAACGGTTGGGCAAAATACCAAATGTATTTTGTCACGCGATAATTAAGGGAGGTGCACCTACCCTGCGGTGCAATTACGGTGATCAGCCGTAATTGCTGAAGCAAATTAAAGGTGCTCCTCAGATCAGAATCAGCTGTGCTGCCTCGTTCGCAAATCTGCTGTATAATAGCTGTTGTTTTTATTGCTGCTTCCGTGATGCTGCTACTGTTGCTGCTTCCTCGCTCACCCTTGCACACGTATCCAAAATCCAAATAAACTATTTATTGGCAAATCGGTGAAACAATGTGCAAAACTATTTTGGCGGTACTCCACACGTAACAGCTGAGACGTAACTGCTAATTTAAAAGATCGCGCGCCCCCTCTCTCTCTCTCAACTTAGAACTAACGCGCGAAAATCAGAATCGCGAACGGTTCGATTAATTGAATCGACTACCGTTGCAACATACATACATATATATAGGGGAAACTATTCCAGAATCCGACTAACATGTCAATGGATTGCAATTGAAAAAATTCAAACTTGTATATATGTCTGTTTCTTTTATCAGGTAGCTTGAGAATTCAAAGAAATTCAATCATGTATATATGACTGTTTCTTTTATCAGGTAGCTTGAGAATCGGAAACTATATAATATATACTTCCAATTTTTTTCGTGAGATTTCTACCAGAGAAATGTCGTGATATAAAGATTACTGTACTTGTCATAGTATTTTCTTATATTTCATGAATAATATAAAGTCGATAGTTGTGTTCATACCTCCTCAATACAAAATTGTACAGTTTAACATCTATTTTTGATGGTAATATCAGTCTACAGACAAAAAATATAAATTTTCTTCAAAAAATCTGTAATGTATACAAAATACGTTACACAATATGTCGAGAAAACAAACAAATTCGGGCAATTACTTGATACATATACGACCTTTGTCGTCGTCGTCGTCGTCATTCGTTAGTATTTCATAATCGAAGTTCACGAATTCAATCGATCATAAAGATCGAAAGTTATTTCAGAAATAAATTATATATAAAAGTGATGCAGATGCTCGTACGATGTGTTGCATTCTTGTGATTTGTATTGAAGAAAAAAAAGCAGAAGAAAATAAGCAAATGATCAAGTTCTTCGATGAAAAAGAACATACATATATACATACAGGATATCACAAACAGTAACAAAGTGTAGCACGTAATCGTCGTCAGTCATGATTTTCCGCATGAACTGATAACTCTAATTTATGATTGCCTTACAACAACGACAAAAACTTATGTATTATATAGAAACTCATGAAAGAAAAAAAAAAAGTTCACTTCGAACGAAAAAAAATGTTACAACCAAAGGGCCGAAATCTTTTCTCGGTATACTCTATGTTTTATCAATTATATTGTTAAATAACAACAACAACAACAAAATGAAAGGTAAACTTACCAAATTTCAAACTATGCCAATTTTTTAAATTAATTTATAATCACAGATCTATTAACATAAAAATATATAGATTTTATATTTGTCTTTCAACACAAGTAATTTATATAATAAATTTCCACTACTTCAAGAAACTTGAAACATTGAAATTTATAAAAATTCGAATCACAAAATCGATGTGGAAAAAAGCAACTCTGTAAACAATATGAATATAGTTTTTAAAAAATATTTGTGAACACAGACCGTCTAATTTGGCCGAGCCTAGAAGCTTCTTTCAACTTGGTTAAATATAAGGTCTGTTCTTCTATAATAATTAATTGTAACACTATAATTTTCCACAGAGTTATAAGAGTGCAATATCTAGTCCTCATTTATGTGTCTATGGTCTACTTTTGTTTATCATATGCATTCACCATTCTATCTCTTTAATTTTTCAATGGTTTACTTTTATTTATTATAACCACTTTAGAAAATTTAATGTTTTGAAAATTAATTGGTTTTACAAAAAATTTTTGTCATTAATAAGCCATTTACGTTTCTTCTCCGTGTGATTACTTTACGTAAGTATATTAACTCAAAATACACAATGAAATTTCTTTAAATATTTATTTGGATAATATCATTTCTTCAAAATTAGTTTAATAACATGGCTAACACTACGCACCCTTGCAAATGGTGTCGTTGTAAATTTACTAACAGTCTCAGTCTCAAAATCCACGTCAAACAAAAACATTCAAATGAGACTGAAAATTATTTTGTATGTCAATTGTGTGCAGCTGCTATAAAAAATAAAAGACATTTAACCAGACACATGCTTACTCATCGTCGAACAAGAATGTTCAATTGTAAATCTTGTAAAAAAAAGTTTCAATCGTAAATGTAATTATATTCGTCACATTAAAGCTCATTTGAATACAAGGATATATAAATGTTCTAATTGTGTAAAAGCATATAAAAGACGTGAACATTTGAAGAGACATTCTAAAACACATGTAATGATTACTCATTTATTAGTATAACAGATGACACAATATAAACTTGAATTATAATTTACAGAATAATGAATAACAAACAAGAAATTGATGATGATCATTTACCTCCATCCAAAAAGATTAAAAATATTCCTTTTTCAACAACAGAATATTTAAAAAAAAAAATTGTGATTGGAGATAAAACTGCGTAACAACATCTACTACATAAAATAAGATGGTTATACTCAATTACATCATCATAAATATTTTTATTTTTACATTATAGATCTGTGGTTGGTTATATTGAAGATATTCTTGGAGAATCTACACATGTAAATAGAGAAAAACAAAATGAATTTCATGTATTCAAATTCTTACTAAATAATAACGATGGCTGTACAATAGTCTGCCACATTTACAACAATTTAATTAACAAGTTCAAATCACATTCAGGCATGAAAATAAATCAGGTAAAAATACAAATTAAAAATACAATATTTAATACTTATTCATAATTTTTGGTTATAGAAAATTATTATTGAAAATGCAGCAATAGTAGAAACCAAATTCTATTCCCAGAGTAACCTACCATGGAATATTAATTTACAATTTTATACCGTTATTTCTGATCTTGGACCATTTGGAGTATATAAATATGTAATTCCAAAAGTCAAATTTAATGATTTGGCTTCAAAAAGAGGGATGATAAGTACGTAACAACTATAACTACAATAAAATATCATAACTACTAAATATAAAACTTTCATATATTGTAGAAGTAAATGGGTATCTACGCAGTCCTTTTATTCAAAAAAATGATAACAATGAATACGAATACATTAGTTGTCTTGCTCACAAAAAGAGAAAATTAGACTTAGTATTAATAAAAGATGAAGGGAAATCAATTAACTTTATTAAAGGATCAAAATTGGAAGTATTAGGTGATCTACAAGAAAGTGGTATTAATAAAAGACAAAATCTCATTAATACAATGCACTTCTTATGATAAAAAAAAATTTACTTTACAGGAAAAACATTAGTCTTACGCGTGAAAAATGTCGATCACATCAAAATTCTTTCTGACGATGATTATATGACTGAACAAGACCTTCTCGTTGCTAAAGAAATATTTACAATACAAGTAAGTTTACGAATAATATTATAACAGTATTACTGATCATTTATCTTAATCTGTTATATATTTTACAGCCCAAAGACGAAACAAAGGAATAATTCATATAAAAATTGTCTAAACTAACCATGATTTACAGTAATAAGCTGGAGTGAAATATCGTTGTAAATTTACTAACAGTATCAATGTAAAAACACTATCAAAATTAAAAGATATTCATTTACTCATGATCGAACAAAAATATTTAGTTATCAATCTTATAAAAAAAGTTTTAATAGTAAATGTAATGAAATATACAATTGTATTATCAGTTTATTAAGTACATCAGTTCCTATTTTTTTAAATTACAACATCTAACTCAATCATAATAAACTCTCCTTCGGTATTAATATGTTGACGAGCAAAATTTTATGTTTATATATATATTTATGTTTAGATATTCCACAGATTATACAAAACATTTGGTTATTGGGTTAAATAATTGGAAACTAAGTAACAAATTCAGAGAGTTTTTATTATGTTATTTGTATATAAATATAATACACTTTTTTCACTTCATTAAATTATCAACAATTTCTAAATTTTATCAAAACTTTTTTCAAATCAAAGAACTTTTATCTAGTTGTCGAAGTGATAATACTGATTATCATGTACGCCTTGAATTTTCCACATTTCCCTTACTGCAAAACAAATTTTTTGATGTGGGGAGGGGCCATGAAAAATTAAAAATTTCATCAAATCACTCAAAAACACGGTGAAAACACGGTGAATTTCTTTGATTTTTATGCAATCTCAAAAATATCAATTGGGGAGGGGACGGGGAGGGGACAAAATTATGGGGAGGGGGGGGAGGGATCAGATTCCGAGTCCCCCTTACGACTATATATATATAGTTAGATATATATATATATTGTTAGAATTTAATACAAACTACCTATAATCATAGAGAGAGAGAGAGAGAGAGAGAGAGAGAACAGCATCCACACTAAACGGCGTACTTACCTAGCAAGCTAGAGACGCTACCCCCCTCTCCGAGGGCCCAAACTTAGCCAGCATAAGCTTACTATGCTCCCTACTATAGAAGGAGAATGAGAGAGACCATCATATAGCTTATTAAATACCCTATCAACTTCTACAGTATCCCACCTTAATAACCTCTGTAGGTGGGTGTGGGTGGGTGGGTTGGTGAGGGTAGGTTGGTGGATGTGGGTGGGCGGGAGAGTGTGGGTTGGTGGAGTAGGTGTATGGGTTGTTGGGAAAGGCACTCTGTCGGAGGGCTCACTGGCAGATCCAATCAGCGGTGATGAAAAGAAATTTGTTTAATATAGTTGACTCTCTAAATAAATTGGAATTAATACAATTAAATATAAGCTAAATAAATTAAAATGTGTAACCTACAGTACATCACGTTAAATTTTATGAATAAAAGCATTTAATTTTAAATATATGTTTTTACTTAATACCTAATCATAACAGCATATCTAACTCTCTCTCTCTATCTCTCTACCACTAGTACTCTCACTCTCTCACTTCTTTCTCTCCCTCCCTCTAATTAAAAAAAATAAAGCATTTTATTCATTTTAATTTATTTTATTCAAAATTTATATTAATTATTACAAAAACAATATTATTTTATTTTATTTTGTCTTCTTTCTTCTTATGCGTTCCTACTACCTTGAGGGGCCGAGTCGGCTTTCTCGTTGTCGGTTCAGCCGGAATCATAATTATTCTAAGTCGAATAGCCTCACTACTCTTGATTTGTGGTTTCTTCGGCACAGTACTCTGTAAAATATTAAAAATATTAATTAATTTTGATTAAAATAAACGCATAAAATATATAAATTTTATAATAAATATAAGTGTTTTCTTACCTTAGCATACAAATCAATTGCCTCATCATGTTATAAAATGTCAAGCGAAGGCATTGATGATGTTGCAGACGCAGATGTAGTAGACGCACACGTAGATGACGCAGACGTAGACGTCGTAGACGATGCAGACGTAGACGACGATGACAACGTCTCCGATCCTGAAGATGATGTTGTAGATGAGGGCGACGCTGATGACGATGATTTTACTGGAACTAATAATTTTTTTATTTTGTCCGCTAATTCATCCTGAACCGTCTTGGCCAGCTCAGCTTTTCTTTTGCGCTCTAATCGTGAGAAGTCTTGTTTTTTTCTCATTATTTCTGCGCGCTTCTGGCGATATAGCTGCGCCCTCAATCGCTCTTCTACGGTCTTTTCAATTTGATAGGCCAATTGTTACGCGACCAGTCTTTCAGTCATTGATTCTTTGATCCACTGAAAAATGAAAAATCTGTATAAGTACATGTATAGAATTAAATAATAATATTAATATACTTACTTCACGAACAATCGCAATAATCTAGGTGAGTTGGGCAACGTGTTGTGCGTTGCCTGCACACCTGAGCAACTGAAAATAAATAAATAAATAAATATTTAAATATTAAATATTAAATAATATAAAAAAAGACCTTACTGCGTTTAAAATGAGTAGCCGATACAGCAGCTCGTGCGGGATATCATTAGTACCCTATAAATTATAAATAAAAATTATTAAAATTATATATATACTTAAATTATTTTTTATTTTTAAAATGTTTACTTACGGTTTCTAGAAGCTGACAAACATTAACTATATTTTCCATTTTTTTTTTCACTAACAAAATTTTTTCACAAATAAATAGAAAAATTAATTTCACAATGTGCTGTGACCAACTCAAAGTTTCCCTTGAGACTGACTGTTGAAAATTCTACCGAACGCTCGTAATATTAACAGGTAATATTTTTTCTATAATATGAGGATAAGATAAAGAGGGTTGATAGCAAATCATAGCTGTTCTCTTTTTCTCTCTTCCAGAAAGTAGTGGAGAAGCTTGATCACTCTCAAACCAGCTGTGATCTATATTTGTGATAGACATTGTTAACTTAAGATACTCTATATCTCTGACTCAGCGTGTGGTTCACGCTGAGTCAGAGCGTAGGAGAGAGATAGAGAGAGAGAGAGCGTACGTTTACTACTACTATAGTAGCGCATCCCCATCAGGCCAGAACTATAGACAGCATGCGCTCCCTTCCTCCTCCGCACGCTCAGGCCCTATACCAAATGTATACGTGTGTAGCTAATATACACAATATGCATCCTCTAAGGTGCATGTGGCATTGGCTCTAGTAGTAGAGCGCTAGCCTGCCAACCCAGAGGACTCCGGTTCGATTCTCCGGTCTGTCTCTTCTTTTTTTTCAAAAATCGTCGCTATTTTCTACTCGTTTCATTTTCAATGTAACAAGTAAATTGTCAATAATATATATTTATAACTTTAAAAAAAAATACATTTAAATTTAATTAGACTGAAAGCACTAGGTATAGAGTCCCTAGGGACTAGGAGCCCAAGAAACCATCCTCAAAAATTATAAACAATTATTAACATTTATAATAATTAACATGGAAGGGTTAGGCCAGGGAATCAAAGGGTTAAACCAGGGACCCCCCACGAATATTGTTAATACTAATTATTAACAATAATAATTGGCCAAAGGGTTACGGACCCCCTGCAGGTATGCTGGAACATACATTGCTATATTACTCATGGCACTAAAACCTGAACCCTTTTTTTCAACTACTGCTCGACAGAAATATTGGTACGTATATGATCAATTGTCGTTATTTAAAGTAGCTATATTAATAACTGGTTAGAATATATCACTATGCATGGAATAAAGCGCTACGTTTATTCAATTTGCACGTAAAGAAAGAATGGCTACTGTAATTCTTCTAATTATTTCTTGAGATACAGGTAATAACTGAATATTTTTTTAGATCTTCACTACCAGTATCCCATTGGAGAAGAAGTTTATTTAGATTTGGCTGATGACTGGAACGGTGCTTGTTATTTAGCAACATATGCCTGTGATAAAATAATGTACATTTTGATACAAATTTATTGAACCCTATAACGGGTTTATTACGTTGTATCTCGAGAGATTGAGGCCGTTATAACGTCGGAACACTTGCCGTCTCCGGCTTTACATCCGCTCTGCTGCACGGCTAGATGTCATTCAGGGAGCGGGAATCGAAAGAATAATGCGAGGGAGATCGGGTAGGATTTCTCGTATATTGTCACCGAGCAGAACAAAGGAGAATTACCGAGGTCGAGCCGCAAACGCTAGCGCGGACAAACGAACGAGGAGAGCTTCGATTACTCTCGCAAACAATCTCACGCGCGCACACTCACTCCTCACTCTCGGCGCAAGTCCCGTCGTGTGCCTCGGCGAAGGGGTAGACACGACGGACGACGGGGTACACAAAGGGGAGTACTCACAGTGCTCAGACTAGTCGAAATTGCGTATACGTTAACCGCAGTTTCTGGACACTCGGTGCCGGTGCTCGCCTACTGCGATGATCCGGCGACGAGAGGGTGGATCGGGCTGTTGCTGGCAGAGATCGGCTAAGTAACGGGTCGGCGAAGAGCTTCGTCGTAGGCGGAGAAACACTTGTTGCGCGAGCGCGGGAGCGAAGCCTAGGTTAGGTTTTGCGATGTCGATGCTAAGGCAGACGACTCGGTAGTGGAGCCAGCCGGCGACTCCTGCTCTTGCGGGAGGTAATGTCGGTTCATTACCGACTGATGGGGGCTTACGCATCCCGTTACAACCCATATTCCGAAAAAAAGGTTATAGAAGAAGATTCTAATGACAAAGGATTGGGTGACGTTAATTTATACAATTTGATTACTAAGAACGATAATCGGCAAAAAAAGATTTTCAAACCAGCGAAAGTCGCTAATATAATAGTTAACAAGCATTTGAGCCAGGCATTCGGAAAACACAGAATCATTCGTGATCAATTTCAAGGCTGGGCAGAGCAATTGGAAAAGCTGTTTCCACTGTTAGGACTTGCGTCGATACGGTACACGAAAAGTGAAACATGCAAATACAAGCAAACAATCACTGCTCGTGGTTACCTTTTCGACAAGTATAGGTAGTTGACAGATTTAGGCATTCAGGTGGGATTAATTGAAAAACGTAAATTTCTTACCATTCATGGTATAGTATAATTTTAAATACACACACACACAACTGTTTAATTGTGCTAATGAAAGAATATTTTTTAGCCTTTTCCAGTCCAACTCAAGTGTTAGAGAAGCTGAAGGCAGCTACGACAGTTGATGCTGACTTTAAGGAAACTTGGAATAACAATCGTGATAAACTGAAGGAGTATTTTACAAAACCGAGCTAAGAGAAATTTGTTAGGAGAT